AGAAGGAATTTATCTAAAGCACATCCATCAGCATTTAATAATTCCACTTTTTCACCATTACCATCATCAACGAAACATGAATGTACCACTGCACAGAATGTATCAACAGTTTCCGAGTCACATGTCCATTTATGGTATACTGGTTGCCCAATGGTACCAAATTGAACTGGTTGTCCTGATGGTCCACCATCAAGGATCTACAAAAATACTTCATTAGTAAATCTTCCGATCAGACATTTCTTTTTTTTTTTTACTCTAAGGAGTATTTTACTGAATAGAATTGACGAAAATTTAATAGTAAGTGTGATAATTAATTGCATTTGCAATTTTTAAATTCAATTACCTCTCTTTCTCTCTCTCTCTCTCTATATATATATATATATTTTAAATAAATAGAAGTTAAAAATACCTCATATCGACATACAGGCATCGGTACAATTTGTGTTGCAAATGCGGTTGTCATCTCGGAAACTTCAATCTGAGTGCTGACTGTTTTATCAGCTTCCATGTAAAAGCACTGTACTCGATAAGCACGATCAACTTTTGTGACAAACAATGGATGAAATGAAATGACCACTGTTGTTGTAACAAAAATACCACGTGGATTCAATGATCGTGTTCGAGCAACATTACAGGAGTCAAATGGAAGCTCAATTCCGGCTACCTGTCGACCACCTTCATCATTACGGCATCCTTCTTGATCATATAATCCTTTTACGTATACATGACCTGAATAATAATTTTCAAATTATATTTTGAATTAAATCAAGAACAGTAAAAAAATTTTTAATACTAACATTCTTATATATACTCGAATTTTCAATACTAACTATCCTTTTATAAGTCATTTGAATAGCAAATAATCAATTCCAAAAGTTTACAAAAAAAGTTTATAATTATAATTTCTTTCAAAAGTTTACATAATTTTTCTAAAACTTTGATTTAAAAATTAAAATTACAATAATGAAATGAACATCTAACAAAAAGCACCTTCAAATGGATTTCGAGTATTAAAATTGATAGTAATAGATGTTGGTCCACATTCAATTTCCGGTTCACCTTCTACACCATTATCAACCGGAATAGCACCAGCAGCATGGACAAATACTAATACGCTTATTAACCGAATCATAACAAATTCACGAAAAAAAAAATGGAGGATAAATACGGGAATAAAAGTAGTAGTAATTCTTGTTGTTGTTATTGTTGCTGTTGTTGTTGTTGTTGTTGCTGTTGTTGTTGTTGTATTCTTCTTATCAAAGTTGATGTGGCTTCTGGTATCCGTGGAAGTCTTTTTATACTTTTGATATCGGGCGGATATTGTCCCACCTTCCTGGATAACCAGCCTTTCCATGATTCGACCGACTTAATTTTTCCTTTTTTTTTCTTTTTTTTATTTTCATCAATTATTTTAAAATTTTTCATTTGTCATCTTGTTTATTCCATCTCTCTTTATAATCCATACATCAATCGAAAAAGATTTGAGTGAAAGAAGACGAAGAAGAAGAAGAAGAAGAAGGAGAAGGAGAAGAAGAAGAAGGGAAAAAAAAACTATTGTTTCAATGTGATGGTTCTAAATTTGACAGTTTTTCGTATCAGTTCCACCCATTTCGTTTGTTTTTCATTTCTTTTCTTTTTTTAAACTTTACAAAAATTTCATTACATCAAATGTCCATCACTATCCCTTTTTACGCCATTCTTTTTTTCTTTTCATTTTCTGATATATATTTTAATAGAAAAAATCAACCGATTTCCTTTCCGTATTTTTGCCTAAATTTGTTTTATGTGTAATAAAAATTTATGCGTGTGTATGTGCCCACGAATGTATGCATACAACAACAAATTGAACGGTAACATTTATCAAAAAATTTCGCTTTTCTTTTTGTCAACCTTCCTCGATCCTTTTTGTTATTTCTTCCCGTTTCCTCTCCATTTTCAATTTCGAACAAAGTGGTTATTGTTTTTTTTTCTTATCCTTTTACTTTTCATAAACTATCGTATTCGGACACTCGATCACTATCGTTATCATTATCATCTTAATCATTAATCCGATTTATCATTTTCATTGCATTTATCACTTTTTTATTAGCTATTAACCAACTTTCAGCCATTTACTAAATTAATCTAGAAGATAGTAATTTTGAAATCGCTAAATATTCCATATTTTTACAAAAATAAAATGTCTTACGAGGATACCATTGCTGCTTCTGAATAATTTGTCATTATTATTATTGTTTATTGTTACTGCTACTGTTGATTGTTTTTGCTGTTGCCGTTGTCGTTGTTTGTTTTGTTGTTGTTTTGTTGTTTTTTGTTGTTTTGTTGTTTTGTTGTTTTGTTGTTTTGTT